GACTTGATTCAAATAAAATATACAGTATTAAGTACAGTAATATTAATAAATTTGATTTCACACACTATCAATATACCAGTAATTATTTAAGTTTAATTTTTAGGTTACAAAGTTTGTAAGTTTATAATATAAACTATTCAAATTTTTGATTTTATTAATATAAAAGTAAAATTGTGTTACAATGTTAAAATTTACAGCATTTAATGCTATAATAATAATTTACTTGAAAGTTACAAAGTATCGATGAAATGACTAACAAGTAAGTGATAATTCAATAATAAACAGTATCTGATGTACAGTACAGTACAAGAATATTGTGGAGAAAAGGGGTAATAATTTATATTGATTTGGAAAACGACAACTCATTAGCATTTGAAGCAATTGTGGATTAAGTGCTCAATTAGTGCTATAAATCCATTTGCGAGCACTTCTTTTGGATCTCTTTGAGCAGAGACTTCCCCTCATCCCTGGTCTCCGAGAATTGGATGCACTTCTGAGCTGCCATTTGTGCCAATTTGAGTTCGCCTTTATTGAGGTGATAGTTGGCTAAGAACTTGTAGGCGTGAGCCATATCTGAACTGGTATTCTGTCGGTCGGGTGCTTCGGCAGTGGAGGCGCGGGCTATGAACTCAGAGTAGGCGAGCGCCGCCTTCTCGTTCTCTTTGAGGCGTTCGTAGAGAAGGGCTAACTTGAAGAGGGCTAACCCCCCGGCCTTCCAGTAGCACTTAATGGCGTCGTGATTGCGCTCCAACTTCTCCAACGTCTCTCCCGTCGCGATCATCATTCGCGAGTCATTTGGTCGCAAACAGTGCGCCACTGAGTAGTAGTACAGACAATAGGCCGGCATTTTCAGTATGTCGTACGTCTGGCCCAACCCATACCAGGCCCTGTAGTCGCGTTTGTTGCACTTAATGGCCGACCGGTAGGCCTGAATGGCGGCGCCGGTGTTCTTCATTTCCATGTACTCGTGACCCATGAGAGTCCAGGCGGACAAATGGCGCGGATTTAGTTGCAGTGCTCGCGAGAAGTAGACGACGGCTTTGGGGTGTTGTGACCGCAGGCTATAGAAGTTGGCGATACAACAGCACGTCTCCACTCGGAAGGGGTCGATGTCATTGGCCGAGTGCGCCAAACAACTCAACTCTGTCCTCATGTCCTTCACGTACAGCAGATTACTGTAGATATCCATAGCGTCGAGTCGGGCCGGATCTGAGGCACGGATCTGTTGGAACAGATCGATGGCTCCGTCCACGTCTCGCAGGTTGTGTTTGGCGATCGCTATTTGGCTCAACAAATAGTTACAAGACGTGAACCACTGCTGAAGTGTTGTGTACAGAGTTAGCGCCTCTTCGTTGAGTTGGAGCTCCAGATAGACGTCTCCTAAGAAGAGTTTCTTAAACCAATGGTCGGGCAGTTGGAGTCCATTCAACTGTGACTTCTCGTCGATTATGAGCGACAACTGATGCCAAGAACACCAATTCAATGGATCCAATCGTATGCTTCTGGACAGCACTTCCATTGCCTCCCAATTGAGTTCCAGTTTCAGCAAAACAATGGCATAAACGTACAGAAGGTATGAATCGGTGATGAAATCTGCGGCTTTCGAAGAGTACAGATCCTGCAATTCATTCTTGAGATCAGTGAACAACTTGATGGCCGAATCAGTTGCCATGCAATTGGTTTCCGCCATCCGATCCAATCGTTTCTTCTCTGCCGACAAATATCGCGAATAAAAGTAAAGAAATTTGATTTCAGAGACGACCGCGTCTTTCGTGAAGAACGCCGTCCTCTCGTATTCACTCAAATCGTAACAACTCTTCGCCAACAGATACTTGGGATCAGTCATCACGTGATTCATGTCATCCATGAAGATGTAGTTATAAGAGTCACTCATATCAGCGCTCAAGTCATCTGTCAATCGGTTCTCTTCGATAGTCTTCATCAACGACAGCAACAACTCTGACGACCATTTGGACGACTGTTTGAGGCCACGGATGGCACTCTTGTGATAGCACTCAAGCAAATCCTTTCGCATTACTTCCAAATCCATGGTTCTCGAGGACAATACAGATGACAGACACTCACAAGAAGTCGATTCAATGGTAACTCAATTGAAATTTGTCTCAAAAACAGACATTCAGTTGATATGAGAGTCCAACACATATATAACGTGACACCATATCATCATTTGTGCGAACATTTCATTTTGTGCTACAATTGTATGATTGAAAGCTATGCGAGAAATGAGAGCTTCACCTGAATCCCTTATATAACGGAATATATGAGTGGCAATAATATACAGAAAAGCCAACTCTGGTCTAAATGATTAACTGTAATAAGCTTTTGAAACGTGAACTCTTTCAAAGTGATTATGAAAAGCTAAACAAATGTGTTTCATATGATTGTGACAGTGATTGAGTTGATTGTGAGATGTGAGCCATGATTGCAGTGAATGTGCACACAATTCATGATTAACTGTGTTTGTCATCCATACTAACCATTGAATGATTAGTCAATTATATGGACTAAACATGAATTGCTTTGAATTGAGTGCATAAGTGAGACAATGATTGCAATTACAGTTAGAGTATTAGTGTTAGTGTTAGCGTATAATCAATGATAAAGTGATTGTTTAGTAAACAATGGATTAAAGGCGCGTTAATTGGGATTGAAATGCATTTGTTTTCATAGCATTTGTTTTCATAGCATTTCATTGATGTGTAAATAAAACTCACAAATAATGGCTTTCGTGAAGAAGAGACGGATCGATGCGACAGATAATCGATACAATCATTTGAATGTTACAATCAATAAGAGAGGCCACGAATCAGTTGCCCGAAGATGTAAACGACAACTCATTTTCACGCAAATCAAGAGTAAAGATAACAGTAATGGGATCAAAGACTTTAAGCTCTTATCTGATCCCAAATGGGTGGAGAGGTTCATAAGTGGCGAAATTGATTCATCGTATTATGCTTCAGACAACTCGCAAAATGTAGTCGACTTTATGTCCTCGAGATCTATTGATAACAAAGGCCTTCAAAAGGCCGCACAACTGCCACAAGAGTTCGGAACCAGACATCTGTTGGCCAATAAACTCCTTCGCGAAAAGCACTTCCCATTTGAATCATTCAATAAAGTGTTTTCCTCGCAATGGCTGAACGATCAACAGGTCGTCTTCGGCACGAAATGCAATAAAGTTTGTATTGATTTGATTGAAATGTTTAATACTAAACCTATTTGTGGATCAGTTGGTAGTGTTGGATGTCCTCAAAAATAAGACACATCTGATCCCAACTCTGAAGAGTTCCCCGAATAGAAGTTTTCCCGACAATCCGTGTGGTATTCACGCCATCGAAATAAATCCGTCGCGAACTCTGTTGGCCACCGGCGGGCATAACCCCAAAGATGTGGCCGTTTATCGGTTGCCAACTTTGGATCCCTTATATGTCGGAGAAGTATGTTATGAATACTTTTAATCGTTTATAACTTATAATAAACTCGTGTTTGTGTTCACATATAGAGGGCTCACGACGACTGGATATTTGACATGAAGTGGTTGGACGACCAGTTTCTGGTGTCGGGTTCACGCGATTCAAGTCTAGCCCTCTGGAGGTTTGAGGACAACCCGCAAGAGAAGCGGCAAATGAGTGCCTCAATGGTTCCCGAGTACTTCCACACCAAACCATTACTCGTTAAAGAGTGTCGAACCGCGGAGAAGATCAGAGCCGTTCTCTACAACCAGAAGTCGGAGGTAATTATGAACTGAAATGTTTGCAATGAATGGTATTATAATGATGTGATTGTATGCTAGGAAGTGGCCATTCTGTCCCTCAACGCTCACATCCATTTGTTTGATTCTCAAACCCTTAACCAAAAGTTTTCTAAGCCTTTGCCCTTTTGTCTCGAAAACGTGTGTCTTTCACAACAAAGTGATCGCAATATCTATGCCGTGGGCTCTAAATCTCACGTCACTATTCTGGACACAAACACATTGAACTCCATTCATAAGGTCTCGTCCAACAGTCAGGTCCGGTCTCTGAGCTTTTGCAACGAATTGTTGACTATAGGAACGGGCGATGGATTGGTTATGTTCTTTGATATCAGAGCCATGAAGTATCTGGAATCTGATGGACGACAGTCTATCCTTAAGACTAGCAAAGGATGTTTTGTAAGTATTTGTGAGCTATTCATTTAAACGCAATACTCAATCATATACTGTATTGTCAATGATTAGTACCCGGAAGAGATATTCAATGATCTGTACCTCCAATACGAGTATTCGCCCGCTATTTATACCCATCAGTACGACTCATCGAAAACACGACTTTTCACTGCTGGCGGACCCCTTCCAGCGGGTATTCAAGGAAGTTATGTCGGCCTTTGGAGCTAAACATGACAAACGTTTAACATTGAAACTATTTGTTTAATAATTTATAAGTATTTTAATACTTGATATTATAAATAATTTATACCAATTATTATTTCTATTACATACTCTAGCATTTCGTAAATTTTATTTTGTTTTCTATTTAAATGTTTTATTTGAATTCATTTATAATAAATATTGTTTGATTTCTTTATAAAAAATAGATTTAAAAGTATTTAAAAAAATAAAAATTATTGTGCATTTTATTTGAAATATGAAAATGTTCTCACAGCCAAATGTGTATTTGATAAATAATATAATCATTAAAACTATTACTTATTTATAATACAGTGATTGTACGGTACACTACAGTATAGCAGAATCCTTTGCCATTGAATTCTGTACAACAAAAGTAACACTTATTTAAGAGTCTTTGAAATGAGTCAATAAAACTTAAATGATTGGTTTCGTGGCCATAAAATTTCTAGTGAAATGAGCTTGGTCTGACTTTGATCTTATAGGTCACATTTGGGTTGATGACATTAAACATAATATTATTAACATACGACAAGGTCTGACCAGATAATAGAATTTGCTCATAAATTTACAGTATTACACCACAATGTACTGTACCGACAGTCAACTTTAATACTTAACATACCGTAATAATAATTATTGTGTATTTTAGGTTATACTGTATGATCTATGATTTTGTATTCAATTAGTACATGTTCATATTAAGGTTTTAGATAAAATCATAATCAATCAAAGATTCAGAATATTATGATTATGAAATTGTACCGGCAGACTTTAAATGTATGATAATCTAATAGATAATACAGTATTTGAACGCGGAACATTCTAAAATGCAATACACCTACAGTACGAACACCTTCAAACAAATGGTCACATACTATGTGAATGTTTGACCAAACTTTGTCTCACATGTCATTTGAAAACATTAAAAAAACATTAATTTGAAAAATGTTTACTTCATCGGCAAAAGTTTATAACTATTATCACCTCTTCTCAAATGCAAACCATTACCACAAAAGTCAAGTCTTAAGAGTATGTCCAGAGTATCTCCAAATGATGAACAAATATACCCAATGTTTATATTCACAGCTGATGTCAACAAAAGTGAAATTCATGGCCAATATTGAGGAAGAGGTGCAAAACCAGTTTGAAGAAGGACTCAAATATAGAGGACATTGCGGCCGAAGAAGTGTCACCACTGTATCGCTTCCCAGTAAACTAGAGTTGGCTGCAAACCGGGTTATTAACAGTATGTCTATGCCTTACCATTAAATTGTTTGATTATGGTTGACATGATTTACTTGATGTTGACCAAGAATACAACGGAAAAGCATTCAAAGAAGATGTGAGAGATATGTTTGAGAGAGTCTTCGACCACCAATTGCCGGCTGAGCCTCAGGAGGTCCTCCACAAGACACAAGAGATCAGAGATAGAATCGCCGCCAAGGGTTGGCTAATACTGTTGTCTTATACTGAAGGCTCTCTTAATGAAAGTATTTGTTATTTTAGATAAAATTGATTTAAAAAGTCTGAGTATTGAGGAAAGGGATGAAGTGATAGCCAAAAGACAGCGAAAATTAGAGCGAAGTCTTAAGGATGCGCTCCTCAATCACCAGCCAATTGAGTATATTTTTCAAGTCTCTTTAAATGACTATACTTTAAAAGGCAGTGTTTTGTATGTATGAATAGATATAATGACTATTCATCGGTGGTGTATATGACGGCTAGACTTCCACCCAATTATGCCGCACTTCACTCTATTTTCAATGAGGTATTTGTTGCCAATAATGATGACTCCGTTTTCTAATAATTGTTTACTCTATTAAAGATCAGAAAAGATTTGCCAGATTTCAGTCCCCGAACCTTATTTGACTTCGGGTCAGGTGTGGGCACAACCATATGGGCTGCCAATCAGGTGTGGCTCAAAGGCTTCGATGAATACTTTTGTGTCGATATTTGCTCCGAAATGAACGAACTCTCGAGACTTCTTCTACAAGGAGGCGAAGAACATAAGAAAATGCTTTACGACCCCGTCTTCTATCGCCAATATTTACCCGTTTCTCATACCGTGAGTTCACTTCCCTTTCCTTTCCTTTTCTATTCAAATGTTTATATAAAACTCAATTATTGCTAACATTTAAACATTGATATCTATGATATTATCGATATTCTTGACTGTTTTAAGACCCCCTATTTTGTACACTGATTAGTTTGATTTATTCGTTAAATAATAGATTCAATACGATTTAGTGGTTTCGGCGTTTTCATTGCTAGACATACCAGACGCTAAGAATAGGATTCATGTGATTGAAAATCTTTGGCATAAAACTCAAGATGTGTTAGTGGTTGCAGAACACGGCAGTCGCGCCGGCTTTGCAGCTGTACTCGAGGCCCGCAATCTTATATTGCAATTGTCTGGACATAACGTTACGGCTCACTTCGTGCACAATCCAAATAATACACATCTCTCTACTGTTCAACACACAACCGATGCTACAATCGTGGCCCCGGTATGTCATTAATTACTATTACGGTATAATTAAGGTATGAACCGCATATTTATTGCTATATTTATACAAACCCAGTGCCCGCATGACTTGACGTGTCCGCGACAGTCATCCAAAGGTCCCGTTCTCTGCAATTTCGAAGTCACTTACAATCCGTTGCGATTCGGACAACAGGTTTAATCTCTTTTGTAAATAATTTTTATTCAATAATTTGAGTCCAATTGTGTCGAACAGAACGCTGTCGTCGGGAAAGAGAGATATTCTTATGTAGTGTTTCGAAAGGGAAAACAGCAGCAGCCAGGTGATTCATTTTTCTTATTGCCGTATATACTGTACAGTATAGTAACGTATAAATAATTTTCAAATTAATTTTACGGTAATAATCATAAAATGAAACAATTTTTATGAAAAGAGCTGAAGGGTTGGCCGCGAATTGTTCAGCCCGTCCTCACTAGTCGTCGGAAAGCCATTTGTCGGTTCTGTTGCAGTGATGGACAACTCAAAGAAGTTATAATTACGCCTTCAAATCACGACAGGTTTCCTTAAATCATTTATTTATTGTATTATTTAATTTGTAATATAATTTTGTGTGATTGAAGGCATACCTACCGGTGCGCCAGAACGAGTCGATGGGGCGACAGATTTCCCGCACAAATAGTTGAAAGGCCGCCAAATGAAGACACCGTAGAATAGTTAAGAAAGTTTTATAAATTTATAAATTTTACCAAGTATATAATATGGTAAATTATTATTAATAATCAATGTATTGACTAGTTAAAATGTCATTTAATTTAAAATCGTATATAATAAACTCATAATTACACAATAGGAAAATTATAAGTGAATTTACTTGAGTAATAAATATTAACAATTAGTTAATTGTTTGATAACTTTTATGAACTTTTAAATTATGTTGAATCGAGAAAACTTGTATTGAATGGAGAGATGGCGTGAGAATGCATTTAAAATGCAAATAATATTGCAGTTATGGTAACGAATGCATTGAATGTATTGACAACTCATTTGGTGTTTTGAACACTATTTCTAAACAGTGTTTTGCATAACAACTGATTGTCACTCAAACACCTGAACCAAAGTGCACTTCATTTCATTGATTTGATTGATACCTCAAACACATTTACCAAATAGTCTATAGTGTCCATGGATTGCCGCGACATTGACCATAATCTTAAGATTTATACACTCAACTGTTGGTGAGTTTGTCTCGGTTGATCCAGTTTGAGATTACATTTTGTTCAATGATAATCAATCTAAATTATTGTCATTATAAATAAACAAATAAGTGATAGTTTATAGACCATTAGTGTATCAATTGATTTAATGAGATAATGAGTGAATTTGATGATTTGGATGATACCTCGCATTTATGATACAATTTGTTTGAATTTTATTATATTTATCTCAATTTATGGCTCAAATATCAATTGATTGACGAAACAAATAGTTTTGATTACTTTTATGACAGCAATGAGTGAATTGTTTGGCTCTATATTAATGTCAATACAATGACAGGTGTTATCATAAACTGCTTTATCTATGAGAGTTGGCAACCAATTGATGCAAACATTTGAAACACTATTAAAAAGTTTTTGTTCAATGATAGGGGACTCCAATACGTGTCGAAACACAGACAACAACGGATCAAATTAATTGCTGAACATTTAGTTGACCACAAATATGACATTGTCTTCCTCCAAGAAGTAACCAAAGCTTATATTTTTTAAACTTTTTCAACACATTCTCATTGTCTTTGACTCTAGATTTGGATTCAATCGGACTTTGATTACATCCGAAAGGCCACAGAATCTGAGTTCAAATTTTCGCATTTCTTTAAAAACGGAAGTGTTTTAGGAAATAGTGGTTAGATTTTGTCTTATATATCATAGAAATGCATACAAATGACTGGTTTTATGTGAAAGGTTTGGCAGTTTTGGTCAAATGGGTGCCCAAAGCCTTTCATTTTCACCCGTTTTCAGTGAACGGATCGCCATTCCGTGTAACTCACGGCGATTGGTATACCTCTAAAGGTTTGAATTGAATGCTAATGAGACGAACCACTCATTGAATGACTATTTGTGGGAACAGGTGTTGGATATATTCGTGTAGAACTGGATTCATTGAATCTTCACTTATTCTGCACTCATGTATGTCTTAATATTCTATGAAATTGTGTTCAAATTATACGGGAATTGATAATATCTACTGTCCTCTACGGTACTAAAATTGGTTGACTGGCATCAGATGCACGCGCAGTACAACCTGAGTGAACGTCTTAATGATCAATATTCAGTTCATCGGATCTGTCAGTCGTACGAAATGTCCAAATTTATTAAACTTATGACGAATTATCGATCAAATAATTGCAAAGATCTTGTAGTTCTTGCTGGAGATCTAAATGCCTCGTCTAAGGAACTGCCCTTTCAATTGCTCGGTTAGACTCACTCTATACTGTATTGATTACTGTAAATAATTGTATTGTTTGATTAGTTTTTTAATTGTGGATTTTGTTTATTAATGAACAGTTGGTTTAACAGAACTCAATGATTGCTTCAAATACAGAACAAAAGACATTACACCAAATGATGACATAGGAGAGGGTGATTGTGCCCCAAATCATAACCATTTATCCCATGAATGTAGTGATTCTGAAACTGATGACGAATACCATACGTGTGGACATCGAGACAACAAGTTTACTGAAGACAGTTCAGGCAAACGCATTGATTTCATTTTATATCGATATTCAGATCAAATGAATAATAGAAATAATGAGATAATTGCCGAGACGTACACGGAATCGCTTGAAGACAGCTTATGTGGTGTCGAATACATAAGTCTTCGCTGCAAAGACCAGACGGGACTCCCGTTTAGTGATCACCAGCCGGTTGTCGCGCAGTTTAAAATCAAATCACCCGAAATAGTGAAGACTTTTCCAGGTTTTCAGTCACCACTAAACCACTCATTAGACAGTCCATCAACTTTTGGCGACAATTGTTTGAGTGGAGGTAACAAAGAAGCAAATAATGTGTCAAACGGTTGCGGTTCTACTCATTATAGGAAAGTGCATGAAAAGAGGGGTTCGGGAGAAACGGGAGGTGAAGGCAATGATTCCAATGATATGAATAAGGAATCGACTAAATCAGACAGAATGGGCTTATTATCGGGTAAACCAAAGCTTAAGTCTAATGTTTTACTAGAATTGGCGGACACGGCATCAAAATTCTCTAAGTGTGGTCCTCTTCAGCTCAAACACATCGCTTCCAATGCCATCAAATCGCGACTCCAACGAAGCTCTAGTACTAACCGCCAAACACTCGATAGTGTCAAAAGTCTGCTCGAAGAATATGTCGCCGAAAATCAAATGAGTTTTAAATACTTTGTATTCACTTCTCTGTTCCTCTTCGTTATAATAAGTTTGATTTCGTCAACCCTTTGGGTGTTTATTCAGTTACCTGTCATTGAAGTACTATTTGTGATGATATTATTGACAATTACACCCATTTTGGCAAATCTTCTCAAATTTTTAGCCTCTCGTCAAGAGATTAATGCCATAAAAGCCATTGTCAATGATATCGAGAAAGAGATATTTTTGTACCAATAATTGACATTTAATTCAAATAAAATCTATTTTTAATCTAATTTATACCCATTTTGTTTCATGTATTCATACCGAACAGCCTTTTGTCAAATTGTCACTTACTGTGAACGTAACAAAAGTGTATTACTTATGATAAACACATCAAATAAATGTGAAGACATGGCAATTAGTAGTCAATCAAACATTTTATTATCCATTTATAATAAATTCAAATCAAATCATATCTTAAAGACGACCCGTCCCTCGGAAGGGAACCGTTGGATTGGTTTGCTGTAAGCCTGATATCTTATCCATTGACATCTCCTTAAGCATGAGGAATGAGTCGGGATCTACTTCTATGACATCCATATCAATGGCCGATACCTATCAATACACACAACAAGTGAGTCAATGATCATAAATGAGATAATTGTGAAGACAATGAGTGGATGTGTCCACACGTGTCATCACTCCTGCAGACCTCAGGCACGTAGTTATCCCTTCTCTCGCGCTCCTCCTCTTGCAGTTTGATGGAAATGCCTCTAATGGGCGCCCTTTGGATCCGTTTCATGAGATGAGTGACGAATCCAGCGATTTGGTTGCGAAGACGCTTCGATGGTATGATCGCTATCTCCTCACAAATCCTTTTGTTGGTGTCGAAGTCGAGGGTTAGTCTCGTGTAGTACTTCTCGATGATAACCTTCGAGGCCTTCTTAATGGTCTTAGTCCTGACTCTACCCTAAAATACATTAATAAATCACTAATTATTACAATTAATTGCATTTCAAATGATTTACCATTTCTTCGGTTTCTCTCAAATCACGGAAAAGGAAGTCAAAGATCGCAGCATTGGCTGAACGCGTCGTTTATGGCAACACTTCTCACATCAATTACGGCAAAGACTCGCAAAATGTAAACAAAAATACAGTGAAAGCCATTGAAATGCGAGTCAATTGTGAACTCATTTTGTCTTAAATCACATCCAATTGTCACTCAATTGTCACTCAATTGCCATTCATTTGGTTGCAAACTATGGACGCGAAGTGTGATCTCCGACGAGATCGCAAAGACACACATCTGAAGAAAATTCGACTCAAAGAAGAGCTGACGGCTAAGTGTGTTGTCTTGTATTTGGCATTGAGTTAGAGATTAATGAATGAATGGTTTGTTTTGAAGGAAACGACGGATTCAGACGATTCTCAAGAAATGCATTTCAGACCAAACGGAAGAAGAGTTGCAGATATTAAAGGAATCGAAATCTTTGGTCGAAATGGTTTTGAACCGCAAACACAAGATTGAGTTAAACAAAGAGAGAGCCAAAGAGGTTGAAGACGAGGCGCAAGTGTTGGCCCACAAGTGTCTCGTCTTATCTAAACTGATCCGAGAGGCGAAGGGAGTGGTGGTCTACACGGGCGCCGGTATCAGCACATCGGCACAGATACCCGACTATAGGGGTCCGAACGGCGTGTGGACTCAACTCAAGAATGGCTCACATATTGGTCAGCACTTGGATCTCGTAATGGCGGGTATGGCTGTCACACGATTGCATGTGATTTGATTGCTATATAACACTGTCCTGTGATCTGCATTCAGAGCCCACTTTCACTCATATGGCGATCACTGAACTGAACCGCAAAAGGATTGTCAAACACGTTGTCTCCCAGAACTGCGATGGACTGCATCTGAGGAGTGGTTTACCGCAGAAGCATTTGTCTGAAATTCACGGCAATATGTATATCGAGGTCTGTGTGAACTGCAAAACTCAATACTTGAGAGCCTTCGACGTCACCGAAAAGACTTCACTCCGAAGGCACAAAACGGGCCGTAAATGCCATTTGTGTGCCAAAGAGAGCGCAGACCTCATCGACACAATCGTTCATTTCGGCGAAAAAGGCAAACTCTTGTGGCCTCTCAACTGGGATTCCGCCGCAAAGCAGTCTTCCAAAGCAGACCTCATTTTATGTCTCGGAAGTAGTCTCAAAGTTCTTCGTAAGTATCAGTGTTTATGGCCTAAGAGGACACAGGGATGGCCTCAGATCGCAATCGTTAACCTTCAGTGGACTCCAAAGGACTCGCAATCTGTTCTCAAAATCAATGGAAAGTGCGATTCAGTGATGAAGGAAGTGATGAAACATTTGAATATTGAGGTCAAGACATATCAGAAGTAAGTCTTCATTCATGTTATAACTAATTCTTAGAATCTTTGAGAATAATATCCACCATATAATGAAACCAATTGTCAGATCCTTAGATCCGATCTATTGTTTTGCGACTCCTCTCAAGACGGAAGAAGAGGTGACTTGTAATCGCATAAAACTGTTTGAAAGTGCGGACCAATCAAAGCATAAGTTGTGTGACTCAGTGGTGTCGAGCCCGGGCTGGTTCGGGAAAGGCATCAAACGCAAGAAGTGACACATTTTTGTTGTTTTAACGCTCGATATCTATTGTATTGTATTTATTTGATTCATTGTTACTCTCATACAGTCGTGTAAATCATCGATAAATTATTACTGAATAAACATTTTGGGAATTAATTGCTGTTACGCTCTATGAAAACAATACAGTATTACAGTTACAGTCATATTGTATGCATATATCACTGATATTTCTGTTTATGAAATCTTTTTTCATTGCATGATATTGTATCCAGGTGCTGTATGTTTGATATTAGTATTTCTAGTCTAGAAATGTAATGCAGGCTTATGGTCTACTGTGTAAATGAGTAGAGTACAGTATCATTAAAGTGAATGTTGTGTAACTAATCTGTTTAGTAATAGTGGCTTAACTTATAATACATTTCTTTAGTACTGTATATAATATTGTAAAGGTACTTTAGGGTTAGACACATGGTATACTATACCATTAAAATGCCCGATATGTCTATTCTAACGAATATAACGGTGTTTTTGCTTTGTTATAAGGTTATGTGTTCATTACTTTAATTTTTCTATAATTTATAAATTAATAACAATCAAAAAATAACTTTTAATGTTTAAATCTAGCAATATAATCTAATTTAATTGAACCTAATTATGCCCTGGGCATATGTCACACAAGGCTTTTAAAGTAGTGGTGCGGTTGTGTTGAAGAGAGCGTGAAGTGATGTTGAGAGCCATCTATGGATTGAAATTCGTGTGAATTGTGTGGAGAGTATGGCCTTCAGTGCATTGAATGCATAGCCAGTGAACAGAGACTGAAAGCAATGCAACAATGATTTGATGGCAATAATGGCTGACAAACACATCTCAAGCACATCCCAAAGCGATTCAAACGATTATTTGTATGTATTTGACACTCATTTGTATCGACCATTCAATTGATTGATGTCTTGTTGTGTCCAAAGCGTCAAACAGTGCCGTAGTGTCAGTGATAGAGAAAAGTTACGACAACTGGTGTATGATCTATGTGTTGGTGTGATTAGTGGCCAATCGAAAGCTGATCTCATAATACCGTCTCTTCTGGAAGTGATAGTGAGTTAACGGATGATAATTGTTGGTAGAGATGGTACTAATTGGTGGCATTGTTTGTGAATAGGCTGTCAATTCAGACATAATTAATATATTAAGTGATGTTTTGTTGCTATTTGGTAAGTGTTGGATCAATTGAGATGAGAGTTCATCTGATTGTCAAGCATTCATATGAATAACTCAATGGATGGCACAGTCATGTGCGAAGGGCTCATATCAGGATCAATGTTAGTATTGATGACACCGTGTCTGATGATTGTCTCATAATTAATGATTGTCTCATGTCTTCACATTAAAGGCATTCTAAAGCTCTAATTGTCACGACTTTTCGAGCAAATGTCTTAATAATAGCGAACCGATTGTCGAAATACCGAAAGCAAAGCCCACTTGCGATCAGTTGATTGAACCGATGGTTGAAACGAAACCAATCGCAACATCAATGGTTGACATCACTTAACAGTATAAGTGAAATGTTGTGAAGAAGTGACAAATGATTGCTGTTTTGAAAGCTTTTTACAAATAAATAACTACTTTATGAAAGAGTCGATTAAGTGATGACTATATGAATGGCAAAATGAATGGTTATTCGCTATAAGTCTAATAAGTTTCTCATGATTTCATTTTCATATTCGTCAGTAATCTGTGATTATGTGTAGAAATAAGCCGTAAAAGCATTAAAGAGATAACATTAGAAGCATTAGTCCTGATATGGCGCTCAAGACCTGAATCGCGTCGTAAATCAATCCTTCAATGCCTTCACATTCTTTGTTATAGATGTCGAGACACAGTCACTGGAAAGAGACAACACGAGAGACCTTTTTCTCCAACTCCTGTCCGCCACCAATAATGTGAGCCTCTCTTCCTATGCTGTCGAGCATTCAATTCAATGATGTCTTGTATTCATACAGAAAGCGATCTCTGAATGGGTTCTTAAGGAAAGACTCGATTACGAGACGACTGGAGACGCGAAGATCATCACCAATAAGAAGTTGGCGTCAACTAAATTCATCAAACTTAAGACCAGATTATTGTATGTATTTTTGCTTATTTGCAATCCATTTGCTATGAATGCAAACTAATCACAAAACTGTTTGTCATTTCAAAGCTATAAACAACAGAAATTCAATTTATGTCGCGAAGAGAGCGAAGGCTATGGAAAGCTGATCGTAGAGCTCTGTCAGAGTGGAGCTTTCGATACCCATTATATGCTTGAAGTGATTAAATCACTCATTGGTATTCACTTTTATATTTTGTCATTACAATTGTAATGAAGTATTAATGGAAATAATTTATTTAAAGGTTGCTTTAATTTGGATCCCAATCGAGTGTTGGATATACTACTGGAGTGTTTTGAATATCGAATAGATCTCCATAATTGTTATATACCTCTAATCAAAGAATTTCTACCAAATTCTACAACATTGACACAAATTCTTGCCTTCAAATTCAGTTTCTATCAGGTATTGAATCCATTGAATTGACAAATATGTTTAACAAATAGATTGAATGCTTACAGAACGAGAGCGTAACGGAAACACCGGAAACTTTGTACGAAGTGGTGGCCCTCGCACTACACCATCAGCTCATTGAATTGAATCAATTATATGACTTCGTATGTCTTCGACCATATGTTTTATGTTAAATTTTTTTAATTGTTTTGTATTCTGCTTATAGTTGTCTCCAATCGACAGTAAAATATTTGACAATTTTAAGACAGAATTAACAGAAGCGAAGACATATGCGAAGAGGATTAATGCGATCGTGACGTCAGACAAACAGAGCGAAGAGCAGATGAATTTGGAGGAAGAGAAGCAAAAGCGGTTCTTAAGTAACCAGAAGTTGGGTTTGATTTTAGCGCTGTTAAGAGTGGGCGACTGGGAAAACGCCAAACTCCTCATCCATAAACTCCCGGAATATTATGCCGTCTCTTTCGATAATATTGCCAAACAGTTGTGTGATTTGATACACTTCTCCATCGATAAGATATACAAACAGTAAGTTTTGTATTTTTTTCACAACGTTTTAAGTTTATATATTTTATACGAAAGACACTCAGGTTTGCCGACTGTCATCGCCTCCAAAATCAAAGCATATAAATGTGCGAAACAACCACTTCTTAAACAATTGGAAAATATATCGGATTTAAAAAGTATTGCGTTTCCGATGATTGTGACGATTGGTCCGCATCTGTACAAAGACACGCTATTGATCGCCAAAATAATACGCATTTGTCGGACACTGTTGTCCAACCCATTGAACGCCAATAACTTTAAGCATGAAATCGCGACAATTCTGGACGAAGCAGTTCTTCCGGCGATATCATTGGTTGAGAGCAATTGTGCGCTCTCTGAAGAACTCTGGCTTCTGTTGAAGTCCTTTCCATATCAGCAGAGATACAAACTGTACACCAACTGGAAGGCTGAGCCGTCAAACACACTGATGATTAAGACGAGGGCCGGTACTCTAAAGCGCATCAAATATATAATGAAAAGATTGAGCAAAGAAAACGTGAAGCTGTCCGGCCGTCAGATCGGAAAACTAAGTCATTCTAACCCTTCATTTCTTTTCCAATACGTGAGTATTTATAGTAAACTTCGGTATTGTCTGTGAATATGACTAACATTGCGATTATCGGTCAGATTTTGTCACAAATCCAGTCGTACGACAATCTGATCGGACCAGTGGTGGACTCATTGAAGTACTTGACGACCATATCGTACGACGTGTTGTCCTTCTGTGTGATCGAAGCACTGGCCAATCCGGCCAAAGAGCAGACGAAGCACGAGGGAGCGACTATCGCGCCCTGGCTTCTCAGTCTCGCCAACTTCTGCGGGTCTGTCGTTAAGAAATATCCCATTGAATTGCCCGGACTTTTACAGTTCGTTGCCAATCAACTCAAGTCCGAGAAGTGTTTGGATTTACTTATTCTCAAAGAAATTGTTCAGAAAATGGCCGGAATTGAGGCCTCGGAAGAGATGACAAATGAACAGTTGGGAGCTCTGAGTGGCGGTGAACTACTGCGCGCAGAGGGCGGGTATTTCACTCAAGTCAGAAACACCAAGAAGTCTACCTCACGATTAAAGGATGCCTTACTCGACAACAATCTTGCGATGCCTTTGTGTATACTTATAGCCCAACAAAGGAATTGTATTTTATTTCACGAACACTCGCACATCAAACTCGTTGGAAAACTATACGATCAGGTAATTGATGGGTTGGTTATCATGTCTGAGCCGTATCTCACAGTATTTGCCATTCCTTTAGTGTCAGGAGACACTCGTCCAATACGGGAGCTTTTTAGCCAACACTTTAAACATTGATGACTACATTGAAAACCTTCCGTCTCTCGAGAAATTGATATCCGATTACAGTCTAAGCGCTGACATCACCTTCTTTTTGGTCCGACCCATGATTATTCACTACATTACTGTATGTCTTGTATTATTAATAGTGATAATAGTTTGCAAATTATGACTGAAATGTCTTACAATTAGTCCAAATTCGATGAACTGAGAAAAGGCGAGAAGAATGTGTCGAACAGCAGACTTGTGGCCCAATATATCGAAGCCTCTGACGCTGTGACCACACCTCTGGTCAAGTCTATAGTTCCCGCGTATTCTTCCAAGTTTTGGGACGATTTGAGGTATTGTTTTGTATAATGTTTTGTATGAATTGCTTAATATTAATATGAAATGATTGATGGCTGTAGTCCTCGATTCTTTGTCACGTTCTGGACGCTGACGATGTACGACCTCCAGGTGCCCACTCAGAGCTATGAGCGAGAGCTCAAACGATTTAGGGATCAAATACAAAGCGCTGAGGAGAACAAGGATTTGGCACCAAATAAGAAGAAGAAGGAAAAGGAGAGATGTCTGTCAATGATGGAGAGGCTCACTGAAGAGGACTCGAAACAACAGGAGCACAACAAGCGAGTGATGGCACGACTCCAGAAGGAGAAGGACCAGTGGTTTCAGTCGAAAGTGGCCAAAATGGAAATGACTACTCAGTTCCTACAGCACTGTCTCTTTCCTCGCTGCAAATTCGCTGCGTCTGACGCCCTCTTCTGCGCCAAATTCGTCCATCTCTTGCATTGTCTCCAAACCCCAAACTTTTCGACACTTATCTGTTATGATAGGGTTTGTCCGCATTTAGTCGTATTTGCAATTCAATTGTCTTCATATCGATTGTAATATTTGATAGATTTTTGGTGACATCTCTTATACGATGTGTTCGTGCACTGAGAATGAGGCCAACCATTACGGGCGCTTCCTTTGCTCACTCCTCGAGACTGTCATGAATTGGCATAAAGACAAAGAAGTGTTCAACAAAGAGTGCGCTAAATATCCGGGATTTGTGACCAAATTCTGTGAGAAGGATCCGGTTCACGTGGATTTCGAGAACTATCGTCACGTTTGCCACAAATGGCACTACAGACTAACCAAAGCATTCATATTATGTCTCGATTCTGGAGATTACATACAAATAAGAAATTCGCTCATTATTCTGACGAAAGTGTTGCCGCAGTTTCCAGTTATGCTTAGCTTCGCGCAGGCGATTGAACGCCGCGTCGACAACATCCGCAACGAGGAGAAGGAGAAACGGCCCGATCTGTACGCACTCGCCACTGGGTATGCCTTCACTTCTATGCCTTCAATGTTTAAGATTACAGTATAATTAAGATATTATTATTGATTTAATGCCTCATATCATAGATATTCGGGTCAATTGAAGGCTCGTAAGTCTAATTTCATACCGGAATCGGAGTTTCATATCAAAGAGAATAAGAAACAAATGACTGTTCAAAATAACGCTCAAAAAGTGGAGATTAATAACAATGCGATTAAAAAGGAAAAAATCGAAACCATTGTTAATAACGTGGAAAAAGATGTCTCGAAGTCGAAGAATGGCATCGACTCTAAGGAGACAAATGAGAAGAAAAAGGAAATTAAAAAAGAAAACCCAAAAGAGGCGAAGAATAGGAAAACGGTTACGAATGAAGACAAACTGAACAATAATGTGGAGAAAAACAACCGAAACGAATCGCGATCTTCTTCGGTCTCATCGCTATCTCCGCGAAGAACTACTGAACACCGAAACAAAGACGATGTCAACGAATCAGACAAAGAACACAAGAAGAGGAAAAGTGATTCAATTAAAGTAATTATTTATTTGTGTTTTACTGTAATTTGAAATTTATATTAATTTTTCAAACATTTTGAAGACACACGAAGAGAATAGCGATAAGAAACTGAAAGAAGAGGTCAATAATAACGGCATTAATAGTGTTAACACTAATACAAGATCTCACGAGAAAAAGCAGTCATCGAGTGCCAGGAAAAGACAACAACAGGTAATAAATAAACAAACATTTTAATAAATTTGTATGAATACTAAATGCCATACAATTTGTTTGGTTTGCATTTATAGCTCAAAGAGTCGCCCAATAATGAGGTCTCTTCTGAAGTGAATTCTACGCCTAAAAGACGCAAAGAGGACGACGCGAGTAAAAGTAAACGGGAGGACAGGGAGTCCAGAAGTAAAGTGAGTTCGGAATACAATGATCATTGATTTGAGATTGTAATGCATGTTGTCTTCAGACGACAGAAAAACGAAGTAATTCTTCGCGACGACACAAACAAGAGGACGACAAATGATAGCATTATTTTCAATGATATACTTTCATCACTTATTTATTCATTTTTCGACATAAAATACAATTTAAATCATTTCTGTTTTACGTTTTTTTGTTTTATCCGTTTCTTCGGAAGCGGATCTTTTGGAAGCGAATTGTTTGTTAAGCCATTGGCTCTCATTTTGTTGACATTCATTAGAAGCCAAACAAATTGTTCCCGNACATAAAATACAATTTAAATCATTTCTGTTTTACGTTTTTTTGTTTTATCCGTTTCTTCGGAAGCGGATCTTTTGGAAGCGAATTGTTTGTTAAGCCATTGGCTCTCATTTTGTTGACATTCATTAGAAGCCAAACAAATTGTTCCCGTGTTTACATTTTTACGAATTTCTAAATTAAAATCAATTTTAATGAATTGTATTGCCATTGTAATGATTCACTCAAAACCTGAATGTTTTAAAACTTTGAACGCATTCCGAAAGACAGCGGCTTTGCTTTGGTCTCCATTTAATCCCAACATTAATCCTCTGACAAAATGAACATAATTTGCATCAATTGCTGGAAACTGAAACTCATTTGAATGATAGACAGATAGTCTACTCACAAATAAGTCACATCTTTGGGAGATCTCAACGCAAAGCTGGTCTCAGCTCCGGAGGAGAGTATGATATTCTGCAACGAAATAGCTTTTAAGTGAGACAATGACAGACAATGTGTGGTCATTACGACTGACTCTGGATCTGGTCTTCTCGACCAGAAGTTGTGAGAACCCAAACAGTGATCGTCTGGCGGTCTGATCGAGAAGACTGTTTCCGTAGTTTATTTCGATTCCAATGCCTTTGGAAATGGGCTTCAAATGAATGAAACGTTAAGACAATTGATGTATAGTAACTAACTTTACACTAATGTTAACTCTTCAAACGCGCGGAATACAAACCTGTGTTGAGCACCAACTTCAGTTTACACTAATTTAGCGTGAGTTTCAATGGCAATAAATTTACTGAGTCTTCAAATACACTCATCGGTTCTATGGATAACAAGTCGTATTTCTTTGCATTTTCCGATTGACTCTAAACATAGAAAGCAAACACTATTTGCAGAGATTGTCAACACATCCAAGCATTCAATTGGTTACCAATCGATGTGTTTGGATGTGTTCATCCACTCTGACATTCAGCCGGGTCTTTATGCACACGTCCTTCCAATTGATCCCCAATTCCTGCAATTCAATGACCGGTGGCTTTGGGATCTAATCAATGCATTCAATCATTCAATCATAAGACATGAGTTGTCCATAAAATGACATACATTTTGAATATCATTGGCGTCGACATCGACGGTCACACCAATGGTCCGAAAGCCCACTGTTTTTGACAATCAATTGTTTGGTTAGTATTTGTCATGAAATGTCATACAAAATAAAGTTATCAAACATTCAAATGACATACAATTGAGGGCTCGACTCAACTTCTCTGCAATGGTTTGCTTTGAATCAAAAGTTTTGTTTTTAAATACAATTATATTTAAATCCATTTGTCTTTCAATTCAAATGATAAGTCAAATCAAAACGTGTTTTCAATTCATTTGTTGACACTTTATGTCACGTCTTATATGAATGAATGGCAAAACAAAAACACTTTTGTTTTGAATGTTTGGCGCAAACAGTGACACAACCAGTGATCCCAAGAGTCACACAAATAGTGATGTCTTTAGCAGTGAACGCAATGAACGGACATAACATGGCTGGCCATCACGACAACAGATCCATATTTGGTGACAAACGGTGTCTTGTTTTGGAGATTCTCTATGTTTTGGAGGGAATTAATGGCGATTTGGTGGACACACGTCGCAAAGCACTTGAATCCAGTGATTGTCTTATGAATGGATCCATTGGTGTCCCGGAAATCAATTTAATCAACCGATTGCTTGTAATGGCAAACCATTACATTGGTGTCAATCACTTCATCCAGAAGTATAGTTCAGGTATTTGTTGTCCAAAACCATTGTTTGCTTTTGAATACAAAGAATGCAAACATTAATCAATTGATTGCTGAAGACTCGAATCCATATAACCGACGATTGGCTCAAAGTGTGGATAAACTACTGATTGATTACAGGAATGAATTGATTGAAGTGGAGATCGATATCCACCGAAACCCCAACTATTCTGTCATTAAATTCAATCGATTCCTAAAAGTATATAAAATGTCATTTTGTGTCCAAATATCACTAATTAATGGCCACTTGTATAGTTCGGACAAACGTTTGATTTCTTGGATCAAATCGTATCGCAGTTCAACGAGAAAGTGGTAATTCATGAGATAATAAAGTTGATAACAAATGCATAATTAGTTGATTTACTTCAGGACTCTTTTGCCTCAACCCTGGATATACTGAATGAGAGTTCACTGTCGGGTTTCACTCAAATCGAAAAGTGTGCCAAAATGTACTCATTTGTGAACAATATTTAACATTATTTCTCAGTTTCCACTTATAATTGCATTCAATTTCAAAACAGATTATACGAAAGCAGTGATAGTCTATATTCAGACATCTGGTCGTGGATTATGTTTGGCTTTTTAAGTAACAAATCTGAGAATCACTTCTTCATACGAGATGACAACCAGAAGACTACACTTGACATGAGTAGAGTTCCGGCGTTTATAAGTCCAATGGATGCCATAAAAGTGCATCAAATCGGAGAAAGCGTTCGTTTGGCTCAAAGTCGAGGCCGTAATGAACTAAATGACAAATTTCATGATTTACGGTATTCTTAAATATTTGGATTCATTTCATTTCAGTTGAATTCGTATTCAATGATAAAGAAAATGATTTGTTTGAACGATTCAATGACATGAAGAATAGAGTCTCGTCTGACAAGAAGTCTTTCAGTCAATTCATTGAATCCGTTAGAAGTATCGTCTCTGAAGTGAGTTTCAAATTGAGAATATTTTTATAACAAATCACTGGAAATGTTTGTCTGAATGACAGCAAAATTGGAAATATGTGGTCAACGAAGAGGGTCTCAAAGATCGCTTACAATCACTTAAAATGTTTTACTTGATGTCAAACGATGGCTTTTGGTCTAGTTTTGTATCCATCACTTCAGAACTAGTACTCAATGGTCACAACCGATTCAAAAAAGGTTTCAATTTTTATTGAGAAGTATTTTCTTTATTAATTGACAAACAATTACTTTTAGACATTGAAAATGCATTCCTATTGTCTTTGCGACAAAATTTTGCTGAGAATGCAGTGAATGATATTTTATCACAATTTTCAATGACTGCATCCAAAGAGGACAGCAATTACTCTATTTGTCTCAACTATAAAATCCCGGATTCTCTTCAGGACATCATATCAGACGACAGCATAAATAAGTAAATGTTTTGAATGTCTATCAAATGACTATAGTATTAGGGTATTAGAAATAACATGTTTTGCTTGACAGGTACAATAAAATAATGAATTCCATGTCAAAACTGTATTCATCCCGCCATCGATTGAATCAAATTTGGTTTAAGACAATGAAAGGCAAAGCGAGTGCTATTAAGGGGTCGATTGTGGACATGAAAGTGTCTGTTTTGAGAACTTCCCTCTCATATATTATAAACGCTTTTTACTACTATTTTAAGGTTATATTTGACTCAAATCAAACTCTACACAAAATTCATGGATTTATCTTTTATAGACTGATGTAATCGAAAGACTTTTTATGAAATTTATGGCTAAAATCGAAAGAACTCGCGATACAGAAGAGATCCAAAAAGAACACCAGATCTTATTGAGTGATATTATCTCATTGAAAATGCATTCCTATTGTCTTTGCGACAAAATTTTGCTGAGAATGCAGTGAATGATATTTTATCACAATTTTCAATGACTGCATCCAAAGAGGACAGCAATTACTCTATTTGTCTCAACTATCAAATCCCGGATTCTCTTCAGGACATCATATCAGACGACAGCATAAATAAGTAAATGTTTTGAATGTCTATCAAATTACTATAGTATTACGGTATTAGAAATAACATGTTTTGTTTGACAGATACAATAAAATAATGAATTCTATGTCAAAACTGTATTCATCCCGCCATCGATTGAATCAAATTTGGTTTAAGACAATGAAAGGCAAAGCGAGTGCTATTAAGGGGTCGATTGTGGACATGAAAGTGTCTGTTTTGAGAACTTGCCTTTCATATATTATAAACGCTTTTTACTACTATTTTAAGGTTATATTTGACTCAAATTAAACTCTACACAAAATTATACCTAAATAGAAAATATCTGACTACATTAGCTTTCTGAAAAATACTTTAAATACCGATTTTAGCTTTCTTGAGCGCTATGTCTTCTCTAGGTTTTTCTTGTGGTCTAGAATAACTCACTATAATAGGGACAAATGTTTCTCAAGACTTCAGTCGTATGTTTTCAAAACATATTTACATTTCATTATTAAAGCTTTTATTTGGTTTAAAGATCAATAAATGTTTGGAACAACTCTTTTCTCTTTGCAATCGATTGAAAGCGTGTTCGCAAAGTGAAGACCTATTGGACACAATGACAGTGGTCTGCATTTGACAGCATTTTAGACATTATATTAATTTATTAATAAACCGTATGTTTAGGACTTGGAGCGAACCAAAGGACAAATCTATCATTTGTTGGTTAACATTGAATCGTATAAAACACATCAAATGATTTCAAATCTAGTTTTACAACTTGAGAAGTGTTCAAAACAGCAAATTATCTTCAATTAAAATCCAATATTTGTTTGTTTTATATATAAGAACCCTTTTTAAGTAATAAACTCCTATATGAATGCCATTCAGGTGTGGATTTTCTGTTGAGCCAAATGTAGGATCACTTTAATCGCCGGTAGAAAAGCAGCCGTTTCTCCGAAAGTGGTCGACGCCACCAGATGTGTGTGACATTCCAGAGCTGTGTGAAAGTCATTGCGATCGATGGCACCGGCGATTTGGCTCAGCCCTAACACCGTGTTCTGTGAGAGTTGACCGCTTGGACCCAACTTTGACTTCAATGCTTCCAATTTGAGTCTCGAATCCTCTATTTTTCGGCGAATATTCAAAGCCTGTGAATGAGGGCTGAGTTGCAACTGAGAGATCAGTCTATCAAATGAGTCCACAATTTGCTGGTTCTGTGGCGACAGTGGCTGTGAAGGCGCTGCCATTTGTTGATTCATTTGCGACATATTTTGCGCAACTCTTTGCGACTCCATTATAGGCAAAGGCGTTGATATAGTATTGGTCGGCATTGGGTTCAGAACCTGTGGATGTGTTTCATGTAATGTCGCACTAAACGAGTTGTGTCTGGATTTTGTGGGCACCGGCGGGTCATTCCAACCGGGAGTCACGTCCTGTGGAATAAACTGCTGTTCGTTATAATTATGAGTCCTATAGGGATCGGCTGCTGAAGGAGTCATATTTGGTTGAGAATACATGTGTGGAACCGATTGCATATTCGGTGCCATTGGTTGTGGAGCCACAGGCGGTGCTCGTTGTAGAGGACTCGGAGGTACTGATGGGTTAGAATACGGCATAGAATTGGATGCCATTCCATAAGGTGTCGTGTATTGGACGGGTGCCGGGATAGGTGTGGGCGCTGTTGGATAAGCGTTGGTATTGTTCTGATAAGCGGTGGCATTGTTCTGATAGGATCTGTTGAAGGGTTGCATTGGATTAGTGTTAGCTCGAGAGGGAATTGTTTGGGTGGAAAGTCTTGTGGCATTGGGTCTGATATTATTGATAATGCGATCCTTGAGTTCGGTCTCATTGTCGTCGATGTATTTGAGGGCCAGTTCTAACTTGCCTTCGATGGCCAATAGTTTCGCGTAATGGGCTGTCAATTGGTTGGTCACGAACTGAGAGTTTGTTGACTTCTGAAGAATTAGAGACAATTCTATTCGATCCAAATGATTGCCAAACGGAACGAATTTCGAGACATTCATATAATCGCCATTTATTATATAGCAATACATCCCGGCGTTCAGCCAATGCTTAGAACCCGAATCCCCATAACTATCGACCAAACGTTTGGCCAAATTGTCCATCAAAAAAGATTTTGTGTTCACGTCTTCCCAATTCTCAGATTCCTTAACAATAAAAGCCAACACTTGGGGCCAGTATTTCAGTTCAAACTTTGCAATTAGCTCTTCAAACACATGAACCGCTTCCTCGTCGGCTGTCGTTTGAGCCGTTATTATAGACCAAAGCAGTGGAGACCACGAGTCGGTGTTGGATGCGAGACAGTATTCAAAGTATTGGCGAAGTGTTGACGCCGTGTGGTCTGGGGATACAAAACAACACAAGAGTATAGCTTCCGTCCAATTGTTGTTTTGAATGCAATCCTTGATAACTGGTTCGAGATTTCCGGTCAAAATGCCTCTATTTATCTGATTTCCCAAACCAGAGCCAAACGTCTCAATCTTCACATTATTGGGCAGTTTTTGTGAACCATTTTCCACTAAATTATTGCTCATCTTATCGTTAGTAGAAAACTCTGTTCCATAGGATTGAGTGGTTTGGGAGCTATTTTGTGAATTATTTATAGAAAACTGACTATTAGTTAAATCACATAAACCGGACATAACATCGTTTGGTTTATTGCTGTCAAAGCCAATCACTTCCAAAAGAGTGTCCTTTTGTTTCTGCAAATCATTTTCCAGATGCAGAGCAACTAATTTCCATGCCTTCGATATAATCTCATCGTCAGATTGTTCAGACATTTTGTAGTGACAGTAATCCAAGAAGTTTCCATTAATTAAGGCGTTCTCCAGTTTGTCGGCGGCTGACTAGTCAAGCGACAGTCAGTAGTGGACTACCTACCTGTCGTGCACGACATGCATGACTTGCCCTCCAACCGAAACTGATACTCAATATTGTCACAATATTCACTAATTAAAAGGCGGTTTGAATCAGATATAGAAAAAAGTGATATTATTTCAAACAATTCAATAGATGAGTGACAAGTGATAACTGACTCCAAATGAAGGCCGGCATGGGATACGAAGCCATTTGGGAGCTCTCGTGAGAATGGGTTGTCGTTGAACTGATGCCTGCATTTGTTGAGGCCTTATATTTTGCAGACTTAAATCAAATGACTCTAAAATCTGCATCAAATGAATATCAATTAATATTTGTCAGACGACTCTAAATAGTATTCCAGACCTTAGTGTTGGTCTGATTGAGTGAATTTGTTTGCGTGATATTATAGATACAACACAACGGTAGTTTTCTCAACTGCCGTTTGTCTCTGCCAAGGGTTAGTGTGGTAAACTAAAGTAACTAGGTAACTAACCACTACATTCCCTACTGTCGGACCTCACTGAGGAGCAAGTGTCCGGTCGAAGGGTTCCAAAGACAGACCGCATTGTCTTTTCCGGCCGACAGTAACAACTGTTCGTCGTATTGATTCCACGAAATACTTTGTATTCCTCTGGTATGACCTCCTGATCCAAATGGCGGTCATTAGTTGACTCAGTGGTCAAATGAACGACATATGAAACAAAGCATACCTTTAAAGTAGTTGAGAGGACACGTGGCGTATCTCAGGTCCCATAACTGGAGGATAGGGTTGGCATCGTTACTGTTGGCCACAATCAGTGTCGTTGCGTTCGCCTCCGACCACACCAGAGATCTTGAGATCATAAGCGACTGCTGACCGCTTCCCCAGAGAGAGGCGGCGTTGGTGTCGTGGATCCGCATAATGGGTCCGCTGTTAATGGGTTACGCTCACAGGGTCTGCACGTGTAACCACAACCTCCGGCACCGGTGCTAACTCGGGTGGCATGCCAAGGTAACTTGGTGTAAGTGGCTCAGTAACCAAGGCGAGTGTGAATCCAAGTCTGAAGAGAGGGCCTTCCCGCCGCTGTCGATATCCCAGACACCGACCGACCCGTCATCACATCCCGTCGCCACTGAATGTGATTCTTTGGGATTCAATGCAATACACGTCACACTCGATGTCTGCGCTTCCGTTTCGTATTTCAGTTCAGTCTCATCGGCGGTCACGTCAAAGAACTTTGTCAATGAAATCAATGTTTAACAGTAAGTGAATGATTGGCAATAAGTCTAAATCTGATGACAAACCTGTAAAGTCTTGAGTTGAGTGCCACCGATGAGGGCGTATGGATGCCATTGAAGGCAATTGAATGTATTGGTCACCACTTTGGATGACTTCAATCGCGGCTCTTCACTGCATTCTTCGGCATTCAGATCAAAGATTTCAAGTTTGCTGTCATTGCTGGCAATGAACCCAACAATGAATTGTCATATTTTGCATCATTTCATAGAATTTATAAAAGAGATTAATTGCCACAACAATAATCACTGTCTGTCACCGCATGAAGACAATGAAAGTGAAAGCAATGGATGAGTCATACCTGAAGTTTGTGTCAAACTGTTGGGAAGTGGTTCCGATGGCAACACTCCTCTGTTGTCGTGTTGGACACCAGCAGAACACACCATTCCTCTTGATTTCCTTGAATTTCATGTTTGCCACCAATTGATCAGCAAATGTATTGACTGGCAATGGATTGGTGTTGTGTTGGAGGACTGGATGTATTGATGCAGTGATGTAGTGATGCCCTCCAGCGTGGCATTGATGGCACACTCACTCACTCTCACAACAGCTGATGGTGTAGTCATCACTACTCCAACACTCAGGCAATCAATGATTCAATCGTTTCCCAAATATTCATAACTTTGGATTGCTTTCAAACAACTAAATATGATTTATAGGCAAATCACACACACATCCACTCAATCTATTAATAATACTAGTGGTCTAATTGGGGGTTAGGGGGTGTGGGCTTATACTCTATATCAATTTATATCGATTTTTTAGAAAGTAGTGTATGTTTTAAGTTAACAGTAAAACTTTTAACCAATGTATATTGCAAATTGCAATACTTAAGTATCATTTATAATTAGCACACAAATTATTTACTATAACTAGACTAACATAACGTGATTAATTATAACACAATTTAATAGTCATTCAATTTGTTTTGCCATAAAATTCAAAATATTTTATTATTATGTAATTATAATTTTATTGAAATCTAAAATAGTGTACAGAATTGACTACAGTATTAATACAGTATATATTTAAGAATATATTTGCAAACAAAACAAATCATGAAATGAGTGTTAAATAAAGGATAACATGTGATATAAATTCAATACAATCTGAAGGGAAACTCAAAGAGACGTCTGAGGAATGAATTCGGCGGCGAATAGTTGTCTCGCCGGTGCTGACCCTCCACTTCATTGCCATCAATACTCTCCATCCGTTTGAACTCAGCTTTGAATTGATTTAAATCCTCTGGAAATGCATTCAATTATCAAAATGTCATCACATTTGAAATGATTATAATTGATACCCTGATCCAAATTATTGATCACTTCATTGGTTTCGATGATTTCATTGTTTTTATCCCTTTTGATGACTTCAGTGACAAACTTATCGCCAATTCTTCTCGTGATTGACGTCTCGCTGTTTCCGAAGCCGTCTTCACATCTCTTCTGCTCTTCGATTCTCTAATCAATGAAAGCATTAATTAATGAAATAAATGAATAAAACACTAATAATAAGCAAATACTCCGTTATTATTGACAGAACTGTAGACATAAAGTCTGGTGAAAGAGTTGGTCTGCGGAGGACTGCGGCGCTCACGAGTGGACGAGTTTAGTATCACATCCAGACCATTGCGACCCACACTCTGATCCAAGTCTGTGTCCAGTGCCGGCTTGTCTTCACTGGACTTCATCATCAAATCCCTGGCATTCTTCGACTCTTGGCTTTCAATGGATGGCCACTCATTGGGTCCATTGATAACTGAAAATCGGTTCAACATTTGTGTCATAAATGAAGACATTTCGACAAATTGACGGTTCATTTGAGAGTCAATATCATTGAATGGATTGTCTTTGGGCTCATCATTGAAAGGGGGACTCAAGTGATCATTGAATGGATGTTTGTTTTGGTGATCACCGAACAGTGCGTCCAATATATCTTTGAGTGACATTTTGGTGGTATTTGTCAAGTGATTGAGTGATTGAGTGATAGATTAGTTGGCGATTGGATGAGATCATTGAATGGATGTTTGTTTTGGTGATCACCGAACAGTGCGTCCAATATATCTTTGAGTGACATTTTGGTGGTATTTGTCAAGTGATTGAGTGATTGAGTGATAGATTAGTTGGCGATTGGATGAGACATACGATGACAACAACCGTCACAACAATAGCTGAGTGTCTCATGCAATGTATGCATCGGTTATGCAATACTTGTGTACACTTTGTTGGGTATCACGTGATCACTGTATCCCACAAGAACACTGTCATAATACAATACAGAATTGGCTAACTAGCAATCGGGATTTTTTGATTGTATGTGAACGTCCATTCAATGTTGAGTCAGAATATGTCATTTATATTGTCCTGTGACCTCTGGTTCGGCCGCAGTCACCACATTTATCGGCAAATATTTTATATAAAATGTCAACATGTGATATAAATTCAATACAATCTGAAGGGAAACTCAAAGAGATTGTCCTGTGACCTCTGGTTCGGCCGCAGTCACCACATTTATCGGCAAATATTTTATATAAAATGTCAACATGTGATATATCAATTTTATAGAGAATTTTACGTAGAATACGATGATATTAATTTTTGTTTTTAATTAAATGTAATTTGATTGACGTTGGGAGGAATTAGAACACCCGCCATATAGTCCTGATATGTCACCGCCGGATATGGATGGGATATATGGTATAAAAGCTCCTAATAAGGGGAAGCAGTTCCAGAGTCAAGATGAGCTAATTCGCGATTATGAAGCAACAATTCCGGACAACAATTAATCAAAAGCATGCATCACATGGTATTAGTATGCTGCCTGACCGCTGGCGTGCCATAGCACTGACTCGCGGTAATTACATTGACTGATGATGAAATAAAAAATTTATTATCTTGTAACACTTGCAAAATATTTGAAAAATAAAATTTGTAAAGACTCCGTTCAGTGTAATAAATAATAATAAAAATAATTTTTTAAAATGTTAAAATTATTAAGAGATAATTGTATGAATGTATTATTTATTGCCATATGTTTGGTGGGATGTATGTATGAAACGTATAAAATAAGTGAACTATACTTCGGATACCAAACCACTACTAATGTCCGGTACGACGAGTCAACCCTCGGGCCTATTTCATACCCAGCGTTCACTATATGCGTGCGAAAAAGAAACTTAATAAATAGGACCTTGATAGGAAATATGCCTGAACACCAAATTAATGACTACCTGGGTCATCTGAACGTTAAACAACAATTTGAATCCTTTGTTAGCTTGAAAACTGTTTTCAATATTGGCGTCGATGACTATAATAATGATAACATTATCACAACAATCAATGTATACTATTATTGCTTCACATTATATGTAGTCGAAAAATAATACCAAGATTATTAATTTGGATTTTCGCGATTCTATGCCAGTTGAATTGATCGAGATTCATGTGAATACCACGTATATATTTGATGCTGAAATGCTAATTATATTGCACCCACGTACTGAACGTCTATATAGCGTATTGGAATGGGGAGGTCGAGTAAATATAGATATGCTAGATACAATGGAAACTCGACTCAGATATAAGCAAGCGATTGTTCATTATAAACACCTTGATAACTGCTACCACCAATTTACTAGCAAGGAGTGTTACTTTAAGTGTATGGATGAATATATACGTAAAAATGTATCATACCCAATTCCATACATACTAACTAGTGATAAACTATGCGAGAATTATTTCGGTAATACTGTTCATGGTGAAATTATGCAAAAATGTGATAAGGCGTCATCCACAAAGTACGTACGCAAAAATTTGGTCAAAAATTGACCCCCCCTCCCCTCTAGTTGCACATCGTATGCAAAACACGACCCCTCCCCTCATGCGTACATACTTTGTCATTTAGCGTAAAATAGTATTTTGCTATTTAAATGAATGCAATTAATAGTAATATACAATATTACATAATTATGTGCAATTTTGTATTCATTTGTCACAAGATATACAAATTGGATACAAATATATTCGTTGCATTTAGTGAGAGGACTACTCTATTGGGATAAGTTACCGGTGCTGTTCACCTATTCTCACAACAGGAATGGGGGTTAGGGTTCAAGTTTAGCGTAAGTAATTCAATATATATTAGTAATATAATATTACCTTGGTTAGTTTTATGCAATTTTATATTTGTCGTTTCCAAAATGTACATTCTTTTCAATATTGCTTAATGATTTACGAATATTAAATTTAGATGTACATTTATAATTTTAGAAATATACTTTAACCAAAATGATTTCAAATAATTTAGTATCAGACTTATAACTTATACTGTACTAGTTAGTTAAATAAGTTTAGTAAGTTATAAAAATTGTAATTTTTTTAATCAATTCATGACATTTGAAATAAAATACGAATATTTTATATGAATAGATTATTAAAATAACTATATTACCGTAATATTTAATTTATAAAGTATCCTATAATATACAACATTAACAAGAATATTCTGTTTTCATTGTCTAAACTTTGAATTCTCAAGGAATATGTACTGTGATCATCACAAATGTGTGCTTACTTTGCATATTACGATTAGTTTGTAACCATAAGTACTAATTATCAAAATAATAATCGACTCATTCATATAATGATAGATAGATTTAGTTGTATACATAGTATCATGGTATCATAGTATCATGGTATCATGGTATTCAACACCAATTGAGTACAGAAATTGTGGGATACAGTGATCACGTGATACCCAACAAAGTGTACACAAGTATTGCATAACCGATGCATACATTGCATGAGACACTCAGCTATTGTTGTGACGGTTGTTGTCATCGTATGTCTCATCCAAT